CAAAGACATCCCAGCGCTGCTCATCAGCTTTTTATTCGAGTACCCTCACACAAAGAGGTGCGTTTGATGCATCGCTCAACACTTCTTCTAAAGACCAACCAAGCAGCTCGCTCTTCAGTCAGAGGAGCAGCAATAAGCAAGACTGCTGCTGTTTGTAGCAGGGTGGTGATCACAGAGAGGACGGAGATCCTTTCACAGCATTACGTCCTCCTGAGCCGAGTCTGGGATGGAAAGCACGAAGTTCTGTGCAGGCCGGCTCGACTGCTGCGCCTGTGATCCGACACGGATAGCAGGAAAAGTGTGACACTGAAGTTATAGCTGAAGCAAACATCTCACAAAGCTGCTGCTCAACACAGGGCAGCTTTAAATACTGCAGCAGAAATCAGAGGCAACCTGGAAACTCATCAATGTGCAGTCCCTTCTAATGATGGCCTTTAAAAAACTACACATTTAATTTAAGTTCCATAAAGCTTCATGTCATCTCCCAAATATCATCTTTAATGAAAGAAAACACTGAAACGGACTTCCGATTTGAACGTCACTGTGATGGCAGCACCTCAAGGTGAATAAAGAAGGGGGTGAGCGAAATACACCAAACCAATACGCGGAGGTGGCAATGAAGTGGTAGTTTAACAGTGGGAAAATAATGATAGCTTCCAGGCTGATACCTTTCTCCTCTCACTGCAAACCTGCTGCCGCACATTGTGATTCAACCCCAGCAGGCAACGGCTGAAATATGGCTGACTTGGACACTGTTACAGGAAATAAAAGACTTTCGCCAAGAAAACAGTGCACAACTGGGGAGATCAAGGAAGAAATCCTAAAGGTGAGCGCCAGACTGGACGAGGCTGAGGGCAGGATCGAGAACACCGAGGTCGCCATGATTGAAAAAATAAAGCTACAGGTGAAGGTTGTAACAACCCTTATTGTGTTATCGCACCACTAGGGGGGGTTGCCCTACTATTGTAGTAGTTGGGGGAGTCTCCTAGTGGGTGTGTGAGTATAGCGTGGCAGCCATTACATGCTGCTCGTGTTCTGCTCTCAGGACAGACCTCACCATTGTAACGGCCTGGCGCCGGCGACTACCGATCCCCGCACATGTATGTACGGACAGAGTAGAGCCGTGGAGACCTGGCTTGTATGGTCCTATGTTGCTGACAATGAATAAAGGTCTGTTCTTTAATTTAACTGACTGGCTTCGAGTTATCCGGCTAACCTCCACACCTCATGCCCGCTGGACCTGCTAGCCGCTCCTTCCTCGCCAGACTGCTGTTACAAGGTGGAGGATAAACTGACAGACCTACAGAGCCGTACAGGAAGAGAGAACAAATGCATTTCTGCTGTACCCGAGACAGCAGAGCGGGCTCTACAACAGTGAGTGAGTTTGTTGAGAAGTTGCCGCGGGAAGGCCTGGGGCCGTCCAAAGATGAACTTGACGTACGCATCAAACGGGCGCACCACCCCCAGGCGACGCTCCCTTGCGATCTATTATTGTGAAATTCCTCAGCTTCAAAACAAAGGAACTTCTGCTTCGTACGGCATGGCAGAACAGAGGATTTACCTCCAACCAAGTGAGCTTGGACCCTGACTAACCCCCCGATTCTAAAAAAACCAAGAGAATACGCCAACGTGTGCGAGACCCTGAAAGAGCAGCAGATCCCCTCCAGCTTAGCTAAGGTGAAATATACCGATAAACAAAGATTTACGACACGGCAGTGGAAGCCAATAAGTACATGTCCAGTAGAAGCTACGCCGTGAAGCTCGTTTAATCAGCAGAAACAGCTTGTTTACAGAACCATCAGTGGATCAGGCAGAGACAGTAAGAACAGCAGGAGGGGACCAGAGATTAGCACTGTTCACCGACGACCTACTACATCCTGTCCCACACAGGCACTCCCCAAAATCATGGAAATGCTCTCAGAGTTTCTCGGGATACAAGGTTAATGTAAACATAACGCAGGTACTAACTGAAAACTACGATCCACCAATCGAAATGAAGAATCACTGTAAATGGAAATGGGACGCAGGTAGCATTAGGTACGTAGGGGGGTAATACATCGTGATGTCACCAAAATGTTTGATGCCAACTATGGTCCTGTGAATGAATCCATAAAATCTGATATACAAAGATGGGATCCCTAATTTCCCTCGGGATTAATAAAGTATTCTGATTCTGATTCTGAATCCCGTCCCTTTATTGGACCTACACTCTAGGATTGAAGCCATTAGATTAAACATGCTGTATTTGTTTCGGTCGCTACAGATTCCCACACCACAAAAACAGTTTGTGGAGTGGGATAGACTGCTGCCAAAATACATTTGGAAAGGGAACAAAGCCAGAGTTAAATATAAAACCCTCTAAGTCTATGAGAGTATTACTGTGCAGCTCAGTTAAGGCCATTGATATGTCTCTGTTGTTTAGATTACACTGTGGGATGGAAAGATCTGGAAGGAACAAATGTTAAAGTAATACCAGCTACAGCTTTAATATCAGACACAAAGCTACAGCACAAAACAAACCTGCCAGATGAACCAACACTACGAGTAATGATATCTGCTTGGAGTGAAGCAATAAGAATTTGTGGTTTGGAAATGCCTCTAAAGTCTTTAGATAGTGCGTATATGACTCAGACTTTACCCTGAATCAGTGCGATAAGAGCTTCAAGAACTGGAGTCCAACAGGCCTAACTAATTATTATCATCTGTCCGCAAGGGGGCATTTCAAAGCTTTGAAACCTTAATAATGCGAAGCTAACTTGGCTGCCCCACTACCCCCAACCCAAGTTCTTACGGGTTTTATATTTCAACTATAAGTTTACAAATCTGAAAGCAAAAGCAATGTAGAGAGTCATACTACTGTTATGTTCAATGTACTTTCTTAATAAAAGACTTAAAAAGACAAGAAAACACTGAAACCCCAAAACCTGCAGTTCCTCTAATGTCCACCTGGGGCTCCACAAAGTCTCTGATTATGATTTTTCAGACATTTTATTGACATACAAAAAAAAAAAAACATGTTCACACAGGTGACATAACACTGAGGTTAAAGCCAGATCACTCCTCCTCCTGCCTCCTGATGTCTGCAAAGCAGTGTTGTTTTGTCAGGGCAAGCAAGGAGGGCAGTACTTACCCAATGAAAAAACAAACTGTTATTTCAGTATTTTGACTTTTTCAACCTTAAGTGATCGTATTTGGTCAAGTGGGTGGAGTTAATTAATGCTACATATCTTGGTTAGAAAGTTGGGAAGCTGCATTCACAGACCTTATGCAAACATCACACAAACACATATCTGCTAATCAGTGCTCAGTAATATCTGAACTGTAGCTCCGCCTCCTCGGATGCTCTGTTTCTACAGTGACATCACAGCAGGCATATTATTGGTCACATGATGTCGTTAAAACGCTCCAAAAGGCTCCGACAGCACAAACACGGTCCAGAGGTCCAGTTCAGGGACTCCCATTAGTTAAGGTGAAGCCTAGCACAGCTAGGTGCTACAGCCACCTGTACCACCATCTACCTGTCAGTCAAAGAGGCCACGCCCCTATTAATGCAAATTTTAAGCCTTAATACAATTTGAACAGGTGAGTAATAGAATTCAATTCAATTCAATTTTATTTATATAGCGCCAAATCACAACATAAGTCGCCTCAAGGCGCTTCATAGAAACGCTCTTCCGCGTACAGCTGTTATGAAGGAGTATATGATCCACAGAGACCAAACTGTATCAGGCTGTAAACAGGTTTGTTTTAACATGGGAGTCTATGGGGACTGACTCACTGCTCCCCCTGCTGGACGCTGGAGGAGCTGCAGCTTCAGGCTCCTCCTCACTCACCTCCCTCTTCATTGCCTCCTCCAGGCTCTCTCCCACCTCCACCCTCCCAGCAGGAAGATACCACTGTTTGTAACAGTCCGGTTTGGCCTCCTGGACCATCAGCACCTCCTCCTGAAGGAGTGTTAATTAATTAAATAATTGATCATTTAAGGGTATTGATGAGACTGAGTGGCTACCTGTGGTGACCTCTGTTCACCTTTTCATTGAAGATGACAGCACAGACGATGTAGGTGACGTTCTTCCTCAGAGTGGCGGGTTTGCTCTGCTCCAGGCCCACATCACACACAGTGACCTCTGACCCCTGCCCACTCAGCAGCCTCTCCACCTGCTCCTCCACCTGCTGCTGTTCCTCAGCTGTCATCTCCATGTCTGTAAGAGGAAGAACAGAGAGCGTCTTCATCAGCAAAAAAAACACCTCAAAGCTCGAGGCTGTGACTGCAAGCGCGCAGAGGCTCACCTGTGATCCAGGTGTGGTGTTTCTGGTCTCTACCAGGTGTGACAGAAGCTGGGAGAGCTTCCTCTCTTACTGTCGGATCTGAATCCTGAAAACTGTAGTTCACTAAAAGTACTTCGTTACTTTCTCCGCAGGTCATAAATCACGGAAGCCTTCCCCCGGAAACAGATGCCGGTGATAAAAGCACGAGCCCAACTGCTTCAGCTCGCCTGTTTTGACATTTGACTCCAGAAGGTGACACCGGAAGTGCTACTAATCTTCCTGTTCCGCGCCGCCGCAGTAAGAGCTTTTAACCCACTCGAACACCCCCCACGGGCGATTTGGACGGTACAAATTAAGATGAATACATCAGAAGGTAACTGAGCTCTAACCAATCAGGAGCAGCGTTCTTAAAACGGGTATTAGCTTTTATTTGTCTGTGCGCGTGCTTTATTGTGAAAATCTGACCCGGAAATCACGTGTTTTGTAGTTTGTCCTGGTCATTGCGACTCAGGCCGGTGTTATAACGCAATAAGGTCACAGAGAGCCGGGAGACGTACCTGTGACGGTGGAATAGGACAAACAGGTGAAGCAGCGGAGCCGGTCCGAACCGGTCCGAGCGGAACTCCGTCAGGTAAACAGGAAGTTGAACTGATCGCTCTCGCTGATCAATCCTGAGGTCCAGCAGTCGGCTGTGGGTTACTTTCATAAGCCACAGCTGCTGGTAATACTGCGTGTAGTACTATAATATAAGTAATGCTAATACTACTGTATGTGTTACTGTAAAAACTGTTACTCAGGAGGGTCAAAGGATCCAGTCAGAATCCAAAGATCAATTATTTATGTTATTTTAGCTGAAATGTGTTTTAGTGAGAGACACACCTAAACGCTGTTGTTGTTATAACGTGTGCCGGGTGAGCTCAGTTATCACAGAAAACAATCAGTGATGAGAAAATCAGCAGAGGCGGGGGTAAAAAAGGACGGAGGAAGAATCTTTACTGAAATAAAAACGTGCTTTTACGTGCAGGTCGACACCTGTGTGCACAGTCGGGGCTCCCGTGCACGTTCATGCTTGTGCGGGAATATGAAACACACATGAGTTAAAGATCAGACCACATTAATGGAAACAGAGAGACACAAACACGTGTTCCTTCATCAGAACTCCAGTGAATGCATTCGAAATAAAAACAAGCAGGTAGAAGGAGAACATTTGTTATATTCAGTCTGGCTCAGGGGGAACTGTGCTGCTGTTGACCGAAGGAGAGGAGGAGAGGAGGAAGGCATGCTAGGAGGCAGACAGAGAGAACGTGAGATAAAGAAGGATTATTTTGAACTTTGATTGATGCAAAGCTGTTCTTGCAGGATATAAATATGGAGCTGCAGGTGAGCAGACGCCTTCTGTTGTGTCTTCAAGGTGTCAGTTTTCTCCTGTGAGAGAATAAAATCAGCGACCGTGACGCGATGGATCTTCCTGAACGCTGTTTTGTTGTTCGCTTCTCTTTGTGTTCTTCCTGCAGGCAAACGTCTTCTTTAAGACCCTGAATGAGAAGAAACAGGTGAAGCTGAGGGAGTGCAGCTTAGAGACACGCCGGTGTTGGAGCGTCATGTGTGCATAGCTGCTCTCTGATTGGACTCTTGTCTCTGCTGACTCGGTCTGATGTTGCGGCACAGTAAGCTGCAGAAGCAGGTCCTCGCTCTGTACCGGCAGTTCCTGCGAGCCGGGCAGGACAAACCGGGCTTCCTCCCCCGAATCCGCGACGAGTTCCGAGAGAACTCCCGCATCAAGAAGACGGACGTGATGCACATTGAGTATTTATACCGACGGGGCCAGCGGCAGCTGGAGCAGCTGAGGAACGCCAACACCAAACAGCTGGGCTCCTTCTCCAAACCCAAAGAGCGCGGCTGAAACCGCGTGACCTCCAAAAGACGCCGGCACCGTCAAACTGCTGCCATCGTGCTCAGGAGACGGCTATGAAGGTCGCAGCAGCGATACAAGCTGCCGTGAAACAAATGTTGACAGTAATGAATTTATCTGCTGTCTGGAACAATAAAATGTGTCTGTGAGGCTTCATGTCTCCCTCTGAAATATCATTCATATTGTTTTCATGCGTCTGCACTGCATTCTGGGTAAATGAAGAGTGATGTGACTATTTTTTTTCAGGCATTACAAAGAAAATTAAAAAGTTTGTTTGTTTGTTTCCAGGGAAACTGAAACGAGGGAAACCTCGTGTTTTAGTTTTTACACAGGAAATTATTTAAAGGAGCTTAAATGGAGTCAGAGCAGGAGTGGGTTTAAAAAATCCGTCGATTTTAGTTTGAATAAAGTGAAATCGATTCATTAGAATCGATTTTTAAATATAAATGTATTTTGCCAGAAACACCAGAATCTCACAAAACTATTTCAGCAACCAGCCGAAACAGTAAATGAGAGCAGAAAGATGTAAACACAGAGTGTGGATCGTTCACCCGACGTCACGGACTCACCGTCAGGGCTGAAGAGCGAAAGCTCAGTGATTCTGATGCTGCAGGTTTTCTCTCTCCAACCAAAATTCACTGAACCTGCAGCAAACCAAGGTCCAAACTACGCTTCACGCTTGATAAACATCGTCATGAACTCGCTCTGACTTTGGCTTTTACTTCCTGCACAGCTCTCTCTCTGTCCTCAGACACCAGTTTACCATCAAATCTCTGTTTTCTGCATTATTCTCTGCTTATCACGCAGCATTGCTTCAGCGCTGTCGGCCTCTGACAACAATGCCTCATTTCTGCCTTTCAAACCGAAGAAATGTAAACTTTTACAAATGATTGCTCAGCTGTGTCTGTAATCAAACCTCTGTAACTTTGCTCTGCTTCACTTCAGCAGCATCAGGTCATGTTCACATGTTGATTCATGGTTTTCTTCTGTTTTGGATCGACTGCAGTATTTTTTTAAGGTTATCTGTAGACTTGATGTCTCGAGACCACTTTTACGTGGTCTCCGTCTTGTCTCCGTCTTGTCTCGGTCTCGCCGTCTCAGATCGACATAGTGGTCGAGAGATCTGGAGTCAACAGTATCGATGACACACACCGTAACGTTCTATGATGTGTCATTTCAAAAGCGTCAGCTCTAAGAGCCGTGCTTACAGAGCGCTTTGTAGTGAATCAGACTCGACTCCCACTGAGCGAGAGCCGCTCCTCACTTAATTTCCTTTGGCTGCTCAGCTCTCACACAGGGGCTCAGCTATGCTCCAATCCCTCCATATTGTGGCCAATCACATGCGAGGATATAGGATAATATCATTATGTGAAAAACAGAGAGGGTGAGAGTCACATGGAGCGTGCTCTGTCCTCTCAGTGAGTGAGACAGTGGACAGCGGTGAGGAGGGCTGTGCATCGCAAAAACACATAATATGCCCGACACCCGTAAACGAAGCAGCATCTGGCTGCAGCTTAAAGACTTTTTGGTCTCGGTCTTGACGGCAAGTCTAGCTATCTGCTATAAAACGCCAGGCCAGGAAAATCTGCTTCATGATTTTCTGTTTTATCCTCAGTTCCTTTGACACAGAGGCCTCTGCTGTGATGCTCACGCCTCTGATGAACTTTGTTTTATACATAGATATAAAAATATGGAGATGAACTGATAACTGATCAGAATTAGAATATTTCTGACTGTCTGAGTCAAAACGGAATTGAATCGATTTTAGAAATGGGAATCGATACCCAGCGCTCAGTCGGAGCTCTGCGGCAAACACGCGGAGACACGGTTGTGGCGCAGCACGCGGACGGAAGCAGCGTTTTGTTTCACGCACGCGGCGCTGTGGAGCCGCCGAGCTGCTTCTGAAGCGACGAAGAAGAAGTGATATAAACAGGAAGTGGGGCATGTACGTCCACAAAAACTGTCGTGTCGAATTTGTGGATAAATGTGAAATTCAGCGAAAGCTGCTGAACACAGAGGAGCTGCTGAAGTTTGCTTTAGTTTAATCTCGGGACGTTTTTCTTAGTTTGGGGATTTTTCGCTGTTTTTGGGCCGTTTTCCGGTCATGTCCGGGTCAGTGAACCACACAGGAGAGATGAGCAGCGCGCAGTTATTCCAGCAGGTAAATCCGTTTAATCTGATGTGAAACAAATGAAATGTAAACTTTTATCACAGCGTGTGTCACAGTAAATTAAACGTGGCTGAGAAGGTCCGATCAAAACGACCAAAAAGACTTTTAATAAGAACAGAAACAATTAAATTTTTCAGGAATCATTACAGGTTTCAGTCATCGTAGTCTAAGGAGCCTGGAGAGAAAAGCGCCTGGACTTAATCAGAGAAGCTTCTTCCGCTCCAAGAACAATCGGTCCCACATTTGAAATCCTGTGGGAGGGTCCCTGACAGGGTCATGGACCTTGTAATCTTTACAGGTGCAGGGTCACAGGAACATCAAACTATCAGCAGAGTCAAATTAAAATCTAACTCAGCTGAAAGGAAAACAGCCACAAATCCTCCTGAAGACACAGGTACACCTACACCTGCAGGTGTTCAGGTGTTATCCTGTCCCTCTTCCTTTCCCACAGGCAGCAGGTACACGCTTTAGGTCTGTCTGTCTGTCGGCAGCTCTTTTATACCCACAGGTAAACCTGAAGTCACTTCCTGATCCACAGTCCAGCCCTCAGCCTCTGTACACCCACGTGTTTTTCATCCAGTTCGTTTTTAAGTTCAGTCCCTGCTCCTGATTGGCTGCTGAGGCTCACCTGCACAGAGGGATGCTGCGTCTTTCTCCATCAGCTCTGTCTTTGGTCTAGTTTTGTGAGTTTACGGGAGAATCTAAAGAGCCCCAGCTTGTTTCTGTTCATCTTTTTCACTTTTTGTGTTCATAAAAACACCTGTGGCATGTCTGCTGGGTTTACAGACAAAAACTCTGCGATTGGTTCTCATCGTGTTTCCTGCAGGTGGCGCTGCTGCGATGGTTGAACTCTCAGACTGAGGAGGACCGGAGGATCTTGGCGGCGGTGACGGGCGTCCAGGTCGGCAGAGAGCTGCTGAATCGGATCACCGGCCAGGACAAAGTTGACGCCTACAAGGTACAGCGGGGGCGCCGATCACATCCGCCACTCTGCTCGCGTGTCATTTCCTCACGATGCATGTCGTTCTGTTCCGTGTCCTCAGCGAGACTGCGTCCTGAGCATCGCACAGTTCCTGCGACAGAACCCGCGAGCCTCGCAGGCGCAGATCAACGCAGAGGTGGAGAAGAACGTCCTGCTGTTCGCCACTCGAGTCAAAGCTCTGGAGACGGCGCCGATTCTCTGAGTTATTCTGTGAATAATTTGTTGCACACAAAGTTCTGATTGAGATTTTTGTACATGAGTTTCAAATGTTTAGAAATCTGGAAATTTTACATTCTGCAATCAGAGAGTCATATAACTAATATCCTTAGTATCCTTATTTTCTCATTATATTGTTTTATGTTCTTTAATCATGAAGGTTTGTAGAGCAAGGCCACTTTTGACTCCCAAACTAAGTGCTCAGCCAGACTGAACAACAGGAAGTTTTAGTGCACAGCCATATTAATAGATAAGACACAGAAAAGAGGAACTTTGCCATATAAGCAATGTTTGAAACTGTGACGTGTAAAGTACAGAAATCAAACCTATATGAGGCACAGTTTGTGATTCTAATGTTCGAGATCCTGCAACTGGCGTTTTGGGCTGTGCAGGGGTCTCTCTTCCGGAAGATGATTGAATAAAAGAAATATAAATGTTTTAACACACTATGAGTCGGTTTTCTCTGTTCTATCATGGGGACGAAAGAATCGGAGTTAATAAGCGTTTACTCATCGACCGTCTTTTACTGCCGAGGTTCTTTATTTATGAGCCTTTCTGCAGAACGGGCTGATTTTAAAATCCTGGTTGGAGTAAAATGTCCTGGGCTGCTTCCAGACCACAGACTGTATAAAAAGGATGGAAGTCACCCTCTTTGAAGACGTGTTACACACTGACGGAAGACGAGGTTCATCCAGGTGCACGTGGAGGTTTATTCTGTTTTACTGACGGCTGCCATTACAATAAGTGGCCTGCGTTACTTTTGTGAGGGATTATTTTGCCGGTCACCCGTTTGTCTGAGCCGCCACTGCCACCTACTGGCGAAACTAAATATCGCCAATATTCATCTTTAACAGTTACAAGAGTCTAAGACATTTTTATTTTTAGCTGTTTTACATCAAAAACTCAAAAAGCTCAAAATAAACAAAAACTGCTTTTAAGTCCTGAGAACATCAAACCAGATCGCGCCACTCAGGACGGAGAGGAGGGAAACACCGTCAGCTAAACTTCAACCTGTCCAGTCCGGAAGCGTCAACCATGTCCCCTGCACATGTGTTTGTGGTGGGAATTATTATTTTTATTCAGTAATTGAGGGTAGACACTGGATGAAATACGGCGTTTTCCAAAGCTCGAATTTTGGTGATATTCCCAGGAAAACCTCAATAAATACATTTTACAGGGTTTATTTATCGGATAAAATACGTTACATGTCACCGTTATTATTGGCCGGCCCGGAAACAGCGGGAGTGTCCAAATTCAGAGGCTGCTTCCACCTGAGGACCCGCCCTTCGTGGTCTAAAGAAAGCTGGGTAGTACGTCACGAGTTCCCTTGGTGGAGTGAAACTGCTGTCTGCTCCTTGCTATCTAAAATATAACCGGGCGCTGACGTAAACTCTTCTGTTTAATCATTTTCCGTTTGACGTTTATTCAGCTGTGTGAAAACCCCGGAGGAACCCTCCTGAGGGATTAATAAAATTTAATGAAATTTAATTTAATCTAATCTAATAACTTTGATCTCAGCCAAACCGATTTACTCTCGAACAAATAAAACACTGAAAAAGCCAAACGAGAACATGTTTAAGTTATCAAAGTGACTTCTATATCATGTTTGACCCGAGTAGTGAAAGACTGCGGGGGTTTGAAGACGATGTGTCGGCCCAGATATTTGAAGTTTACACAGTTACATTCTCACCTGAAAATATGTTAAAGTTTTTTGCGACCCAGAAAGAGAAATAAGAGTAATATTAAAACTAAGTCGCTGCCGCCATTGTTGGAAACTGGAATTGGCTGGCCGCGCTATGAATTCTGCG